GGATGTCCATCAGTTGGGGAATGGTTGAACAAGTTGTGGTATGTGAATGTAATGAAATACTATTGCATATTAAGAAATGATGAGCAGGCAGACTTCAGAAAAACCTGGAAAGACTTGAATGAACTAGTGCTGAGTGAAGTGAGCAGAAACAGAACACTGCACACAGAAACAGCCACGTTGTGCAATGACTAACTTTGACTGACTCATCTCTTCTTAGCAATGCAAACATCCGAGACAACTCCAAAGGACTCATGATGGAAAATACTGTCCACCTCCAGAAAAAGAACTATGGATTCCGAATGCAGATTGAAGCATATTATTTGCTTTCTCCTACTCTCTTTTTTTTAATTTCTTCTTTCTTATGGTTTCTCGCATTGGTTCTAATTCTTCTTTACAACATGACTGAAGTGAAAATAGGTTCAAGGGGCAGCTAGGTGGAGGACCTGAGTTCAAATCCAACCTCAGACCAAACACTTGACACTTGACACTTACTAGCTGTGTGACCCTGGGCAAGTCACTTAACCCCAACTGCCTAAAAAATAAAAAAAAAATTTTTTTAGAAAGAAAAAAAGGAAATAGGTTCAATATGAATATATATGTAGAGCCTATATCAAATTGCATGCCATCTTGGGGTGGAGGAAGGGATAAATGAGGAGAAAATTTGGAACTCAAAATCTTATGGAAGTGAATGTTGACAACTAAAAATAAATAAATATTTTTTTAAAAAAGAAATAAAACATTAAAGGAATAAAGATGAGGGAGAAGATAAGGGAGGGACTTTTAGAGGGGACCCTACTCACATCAGATCTGGGTTAAAAAAGAGAACAATATATACATTTAGAAAGGAATAAAAGTCTTCTAAATTTATAAAGAAATAAGAGGGAAAGGGAAAAAGGATAAGGGAAGGGGGTGTAGAAGGGTCTTTAGATTAATGGGAAAGGGATAGGATAAGGGAGGAATCCTTATATGGGAGATAGATTAAGTAATAGGAGGGCAAGGTAGTGGGTAGAAATAAAGCAGAGGAGTCGGGAGGGATAAGAAGAGATACACACAAACATAAAATAAAGATCAGGAGTAGAATCTATTAGAAAAAACAGGGTTAATAATCATGATCTCAAAGTTAGAGTTAAGTAGATTTAAGGAAAAGAGAAAAATGGAGAAACTACACTATATGTCAGCTATATTGATCAATATTGTTTTAGACCATTTAAAATAACTAGACAGTATAAGGTTGTAATATTGCTGTGGTGTAGGAAATGAGTTGGTGGATTTGGAAAACTATGGAAAGACCTGGATGTATGAAGGAAGATGTTATCCACCTTCAGAGAAACAGAGGACAAAAAAGTAACATAGGGTCTTACATAAATGAATATGAATGTATATGTGTATATATGCATATGATTATAGATATCTATTGTATATATGTATACATAAGTGTATGCATATGTGTGCATGTGTTTGTGTGTATGTACATATATATGTATATGTATATCTATGAATGTGTGTATATATATATACACATTTAATTGTAGCCTTTTTGGGGAAGAGGAGGAAAGAAAGGAGGGGGAGAAGAAAGTTAAAAAGCGTACAGCAGAGAACAAAAGAAAACCTACAATGAAGCAAAGAAAAGATAGATGACTTTGAACATGTAGTATTTTTTATATAGGCTTTCCTGAAATGGAAATTTGTTGCATTATATTTTGAATCCTCTCCTGTGTTCTGCTGTGCACATGGCAATGTTTTTTTTTCTTTTCTTATTTTGTATTTAAGTTCAAAATTTTAAAATTTACAAAATAAAAAATAAAAGAAATGCTTTTTAGGGGTAGATAGGTGGCTCAGTGAATAGAGCATCCACCCTGGAGTCTGGAGGACCAGAGTGCAAAATCAATCTCAGACATTTATTAACTATGTGACCCTGGGCAAGTCACTTAACCCCATTGCCTCCCAAAATTAATTAATTAAATGTTTGTTGACTCGCTCCATTCTCAATTAACCTTAAGGAAATAAGAAATAAATAACTGAAGATATAAATTGAGGAGATAGAGAGAGAGAAGGGATGGGGAAGAAAGAAGTAGAAAGAGAGCATTTACTAGCTGTGTCACCCTGGGCAAGTCACTTAACCCCATTGCCTAGCCAAAAAGAGAGAGAGAGAGAGCAATTTATTAACCACTTACTATATGCCAGACACTGTGGTAAGTACACAGAATAGAAAAGCCAACAAACAGGTTGATCCCTACTTTCAAAGATCTTACATTCTAATGGAGAAAGACGAGTGATCTAGAAGTGAAGTGAGCAGTATGGCTAAATTCTCTCATGATAAAGAACTTCTGGATCAATTCTGTGATTGGCAGGTCCCTGCCTAGAATTGCTATCATCTAGAAGAGCTCATGATTAAGCTGTACCAATATGATAAAAATGGCAACCAATTAATTTAACCAACCAGCATTAGTTTACAGATAACCAAATTCATTTGAAGGAACAGAAAACCTAGATCATCAAAGGAAATAATGAAACAATTATGTGAAAGGAGGAGAGCACATCCAGAACAAACAAACAAACAAAACAGTACAGGTTAAAAAATAGAAAAATAAAACCAATGAAATAGACTACAGGAAAAATCAGAAATCATTGAACTCAATAATTCAGTGTTCAATAAACCCAGGAACATAAATTACCTAAGAAATGACTCCTTATTTGCTAAGAACTGTTGGGAAAACTGGAAAGCAGTCTGGCAGAAATCAGGCTCAGGCTAACATGTTATACCATATTTCACAATAGATTCAAAAGGGATAGGTGACCTGAATATTAATGATAGTTCTTAAAAATGTGGAACAAAAGCAGACCATATAACATTTCATAGGTAAGGGTAGGGACTGATTTCTTAAACCAACAAGGGATAAAAAAAATTTATAAAAGATAAAATAGGTAATTTTGATTTCACAAAATTAAAAAAACTTTTGTACAAACAAAATTAATGAATTTTGGATAAGATGAGAAGCAGTCTACTGGGAAAAATTCTTGTATCAAATAACATTCATAAGAGTTTGAATATACACACACACACACATAACTGAAATATATAAGGCCAAAGGCCATTCCCAAATAAATGTCATATAAGAGTATAAATAGTTTTCAAAAGTGCTGGAAACTATTAACAACCTTATGAAAGAAAGAATGCTCCAAACTAATTATAAGGGAAATACATGTTAAAGCAGCTCTGAGATTTTCCCTCACACCAGCAAATTGGCAAAGGTGACAAGAAAACAGGAATAGTCAGTGTTGGAGGGGTTGTCAAAAGATAGGCACATCCAAACACATTTTTGGTGGAGCTGTGAATTGATATAACCATTCTGGAAAGCAGTTTGTAATAACACAAATAAGTTGATTCAAATGCCCATACCATTTGACCTAGAGATTCTGCTGCTAAGCATATACCACATAGAGGTCACAAACAAAAAGAGAGGCTCCATCTACACCAAAAAATTATAGCAACATTTTGTGCACTAGAAAAAAAAAGACGATGCCCATTAACTGGGAAATGGTTAAATAAATTAGGGTACGTGAATGCAATGTACTATTACTATGATGTAAGAAACAACAAATATGATGAATACAAAAAAGCATGGACTTACATAAATTGGTGCAAAAGGAAGCGAAGTCAGAAAAACAACGTACGTAATGACGACAGCAATGTAAATGGAAAGAAGAGCAATAAAACAAATAAAAGTGAATGTTCTAAAATTATAATGAGAAAGCTTGGCCCCAAAGAAGAGTTCTCAGACAACAGATGACCTCTACTCAGAGAATGAGGTCTATGAGCATGAAATATTTCGCAAAACATCCAATTTTTTATGTATTGATTGGTTTTACCAATTTTTTTTTCTCTTTCCCTTTTCAAAAAAAGTCTTTGTTATAACAGGTGGTTCTCTGGCCATCTCCAGTCATCCCGATCTATATCTTGCCACTGGGCCCAGATGTCTCCAGAGGAGAAAGTGGAGCTGGTGACTGCAAAGCCCTCCCTCAGTGTAATCCAATTCACTTGCAAGCCATGGCTTCACTTACCTGATGTCATGGTCCTTTTCAAAAATGAAGGACAAACAAAGGTTCTCTAGCTGAGGAGAGAAGAAGCGATATAGGAAGGAAAGCAGACTATGAAAAAACAAAAGACAACCCCCAAAAAATCTGTATTAAAAAAAAAATCTAAGTTCTATGAGAGGAGGACATTTGGAATTGTATCCCCAGCACTTAGCATGACACTTAGCACGTAGTGTTTTGTTTTTGTTTGTTTTGTTTTTGTTTTGTTTTTTGCTAGGCAATGGGGTTAAGTGACTTGCCCAGGGTCACACAGGTAGTAAGTGTTATGTGTCTGAGGCCGATTTGAACTCAGGTCCTCCTGAATCCAGAACCAGTGTTCTATCCACTGCGCCACCTAGCTGCCCCACACATAGTGTTTAATAAATGTTTCTCTATACATTTATTTTCCTTCCCCATTATATTCTTTACTTATCCCATCTTATGTCATATTATGTCATATCATAGATCGAGAACTACAAGGAACCACCAAGGCCATGTAACCCAAACGTCTTATTTTACAGGAAGGAAAACTGAGGTATGGGGCTTTGAGGTGACTTTCCTAAGGTCACACAAGTATTGAGTAATGGAGTGGGATTTGAACCGAGGTCTTCTAACTCCAGAACCATTGTTCTTTTCAATAATGTCTCTCTTGTTCCATCTAAAAAAACTTTTCTTCATTTTTTTCTCTTTCCATTAGCATTCTCCCTGATACACTATCTTATTTTTCAAGCTAGAAAATCCCTATCTCTTCCTCTCCTCTTTTCTAACTTCTTTGCACCTCTTCTATCATTCCTTTCATTCCTCTGTCATATCCTCTCATAATTTTTTCACTCCTTTAATTGACATACGATTGTGCAATAAATGAACAGCTGGTGTTTACAGGAACTATAAATACAGGGAATGATTTGTTGCCAGCAAGACAGTCAGAAGATTTCTATTTTCTCTGCTGCTTTTGAGGCAGAAAGATGAAGCAAGCTAAGTTTTCTATGGAAACTGCTGGCAAGGTAAGTAGACAGTTTATTTCTAGAAATGTATTCTCATAGTTCAGTTTTATAGGTAAAGTGAACAGAGAAGTATGTTGTCTCATTAACTGAAAAACTTTATCACATAAAATCATATTATCTTATTTGTACATGCAAGAATGTCTTATTTATGCATTGATATATTCCTGATCATTTTTTGTGAGTCAAATTATTATAAAATGGGTATTTTATTGCCATAAAATTTCTTGCTATTTAGGGGAACCCTTTGGTAAATTCTTTGAATAATGTTTTAAAATCTAATCGTCTCTAATTTGTATTGATAACATGAGAGACTACCAAGAGGGCTAGGCCTGGAATTAGAAAGACCTGGGTTCAAGCCCTACCATATATACCAGTGGTGGATCCAAGGACAAATCACTTCATTTTTCAGGGCTTCAGGCAAGGTAGAGTAGGAGTATTGGGGGAATCAAGGGGCCCTGGGGTCAAATCCTGACTCTCTCACTTATTACTTTCATGACTTTGGGCCTCACTTTCCTTATCTGTCAAATGAAAGGTTTGGATTAGGCGACTTCTAAAGGTCCCTTCCAGTCCTAAATCAATAGCAGGAGAGGTGCTGATCAGCATTGGTGGAAGGAATTTCCACACTGGGAATTGCTTACAGTGATAAAATCACAGGTCCACCCACTCTCACCAGACTTCCCCAGAAATTATTTCAAGGCGTCACTAAGACATTTATTAGGCATAATCAAGTTTGGTAATAATAAGTTTAAGAATGACCTTTACTGTTAGAAGAAAATGAGACCCTAAGGAAAAAAAGGATCACAAATGGCCCTACCCTTGAATAAAATGAAGGGAATATAAAATTCTGAGCATTTTTAGGGGATTACTTGTCCCAATTGAAAGACAACAATTATGTTTTTATGATTGTAATAAAGTGATGAATTCCCATCCTCTCAATTTTGGAATGGGCTAAGAACTAGCAATCATCCTACAAAAGTCTAGACTCTCAATTCTCAATTCTGCTCCCTTGAACACTTAGTCAGGGAAAGGAACAATTCACATTCATATAGCACATTATAATTGAGAAAGACATTTCTGCATACATTATTTCTTTGAGGCTCTCAACAATCCTGTGGTGAGGCAGGGGAACAGGGATTAGTATTCTCATTTCACAGAAGAACTGAGCCTGAGAGAGGCAAGTGACTTGTTCAAGGTAATTTACCAATGGTGGAGGCAGGGTGTGAAATTGAGTCGTCAGATTCTATGTCTTTTACTCTTTCCAATGCACAAAAATTGTGGAAATGTATGGAGGACACAACTGATAAACCATCACCCTGAACAAAATCCTTCCAGCAGCAAGTGTGGAAAGGAATCTGTGTTCTAAATGACAGATCTTGGCTACTTTCATGATATAATTTGTATTCAGTTGTGCAATGGATAGAGTGCTGGATGTGGAGTCAGAAAGACCTGAATTCAAATCATGTTAGCCTCTGCCTCAGTTTCTTCATGTGTAAAATTAGGATAATAATAGCACCTACCTCCTAGGGTTGTTGTGAGGATCAAATGAGAGAATATTTGTAAAGCATTTGGCACAGCACTTGGCATATAGTAGGCACTTCATAACTACTTGTTTCCTTCCTTCACATCTTTATTTTTCTATTTATCCAAAACGTGCAGGTTAGAAAACCATGCTCAGTTTGAAAAGATACCAAGAGAGACAGCCAGCATGCCTTTAGTAGAAGGGATATCAAACATAATTTCAGCTTACATCAGGATCTTGTTCTATTTTATTAATTTTACAGGTTATCACATGCAGGGCAGCCATTGCCTGGACAATTAATGCTCCCTTGTGTATTGAGGAGGTGGAAGTTGATCCACCAAAGGCTGGAGAGGTTCGAATTAAGGTAAAGCTGTTATTTATGATTATCTCCTAATGATTAAGAACTCAATGGGAATCCCATTCTCAGCAAGTGAGGACTTAGAGGTTTTAGTCTTGTATATGTATGTTTTCCCATCATTCAAAAGTTCATGTCTTCTCTCCTTAGATTGCCTCCCTTGAGGTCCTCTTTCTGTAACCAACTGATATAAGTTCTTTATCATTAAATAGTGTTGGGGTCAACATTCTTTCAGCCAGTCAGGAGTCACAACTCCCACCATATGTATAGCATGAAGTCCAGAGCCATCTTCTAGGGCACTACCAAAAGAGGTATTATATGCAATTCAATCCAAATCAAGAAAACACTATTAAGCACCTCTATGTGCAAAGCACTAGAGAATATAAAAAGACATTTAAAAATAGCAAAGTCTCTGCCCTCAAGGAGCTTTCACACAACTGAGAAGATACAACATGTATACAGATAAGTAAAAGACATGGGACCCCAACAACGATGGGGGTGAGGAAAAGCTTCCTCTTGAAAGTGACACATGAACTGAAAAAATCTAGGGTGGTGGCAGATAGTGAAGAGCTCCAAATCTGATGGCTTTATTCTCTGAAAAAAAATCTCTTCAACTTTATTGTAATACCTTGAGCTCTACCACAATCATCATCATTAGCTACTGTTCTTTGGGAGAAAAAACAGAGAATACAAAAATGTAAAAAATGGATCTCAAAGATTATCAGGTTGGTACTCTCAAAGACACATATCTACTTACTTTATAATTAACAATTGTTTAATTTCTTGTTTGGTAAATATCAGTCTTCATTTCTCCTGAACTGGTGAAAGAAAAGCCTGAACATCCATACTTGTAAAGCAAGTTATACAATGCTCTGCAAACAATATATATTTATTTTCCCAGTAAGATGTATTAACCCAATTTTTTCTGAATACTTAGTTACCCAGGGCAGCTGGGTGGCACAGGGGATAGAGTGCCAGACCTGGAGTCAGGAAGACTCATCTTCCTAAGTCCAAATCTGGCCTCAGACACTTACTAGCTGTGTGACCCTGAGCAAGACACTTGGCCCTATTTGTCTCAGTTTCCTCATATATAAAAAGAGATGGAGGAGGAAATGGCAAACCACTTCAGTATCTCTGCCAAAAAAAAAAAACCCCAAATGGGGTCATGAAGAGTCAGACAGGACTGAAAAACAGCTGAACAACAGACAAAGTCAAGGCTTCTCGTCATTAAACTTGCTACTTGCCCATGAGAGACAGCTGAATAGAGAGCTGGTCTGGAAGCCAGAAAGGCCAGGTTCAAGCCCCACTTCTGACGTATTTGTGTGACCCTGGGTAAATCATTTAGCTGTGTTCTAGGCAACTCTCTAAGACTATAAGTTGTGGGGAAGGTATTAACCTGCATTAGTAGAGGGAGTTTCACCACCCTGGAGTCTGCTATACCAATGAAATTGCAGATCTATTCCCTATCTTAAATCTCCCACTTAAATTATACCAGCCATTTTTCATCAACCAAGATGCAATAGTCACCACAGAAAGCATAGACATGTGATTAAGTAGTAATGAATGCTAACTGGTTGGGGGGGGGGGAAGGTTGGGAAGAAGGGGAATGAAGTTGAGTGAATTTTGATTAACAAAAATTAAACAGAAATTTATGTATCCAGAAATCAATTTCTAGGACTTTCTGTTTCCCCTACCATAAAACAGAGGTTCTTAACCTGGGACTGGTCCATGGATAGATTTCAGTTGATCCATGGACAGGAAAAAAAATTCAACTTTATTTTCCCTACCTCTAACTGAAATTTAGCATTTCCTTCAATTATTTAAAAATGTTATTCTGATATGGGGTCCATAGGCTTCACCAGACTGCCAAAAGTGGGGTTTATGACTCTAAAAAGGTTAAGAAGACCTGATCTACAGGGTTTGGACAATAATTAATCATTATTAAGTCATTAAAAGAGATTTGGGGGCCAATTTCTCACAAATGTAATATAAATTCTTCTTTCTGGTACACTTCAGGATATGAATCTGAGAAATCATCCATGTGGGTTCTCCCTCCAAAAGTATCAATTATAATCCATCTGTGTCTTCTTGTCCTATGCAATCTTGCCTGTCTTCTCTCATAAATCCTCCACCAACTTTGTGAAGACCCAATCTTGGATTACATCCACTATTCTCTACCTCTACTTCTATTCATGTGCTCCTAAATGGTGCTGTAGAAATGATAAAACTGCTCACTGGGTCCACCACAGATTTGTGCTAGACAATCTCAACTAAGTGCTCACTACAGTAAGGTAATCCTCCCTAATTAATTCACTCCACCCACCACAGTGACTATTTCAAACCATTTCATTCCTCCTCAAACCTTTGTCTTCTTCCACTATCTTTTCCTTCATTGTCATCTCTCACGAAGTAACTCTTCTCTTGCCAAGTCAAACTTCTATACATGTGCCCTTAACCCCATTGCATCCCATCTTCTCCAGCAGATTGGCCCTTCTGTCATCCTCATTCTTTCACTAATGATCAGGCTCTCCACAACTACTGACTATAAACATGCCTATTTCCCTTATCCTTAAAAAACCCTGACTTGATCCTATTAATCCTATAACTTTCCTCCCTCTTATAAATCCTCCCTTACAAATTACTAGGGAAAAGTCACTTACAATCCCATTATAGTAGCCATAATTGTTCAGTATCAGTTTGGAAGAAGGTCTCTATTGGAATGCCCCAGGTTTTGGAATGTCCAGGTTTGACCAATGACTTGAATGAAGGCATAAACAGCATACTTATCAGATTTTTGGATGACACAACAATAAGAGTGATAGATAACATACTGAATGACAGAATGAGGATGCTAAAAGATCTTGATAAGCTAGAACACTGAGCTTCAATCCCAAATTTTTTAATTTAATAGGTATAAATGTAAAGACTTACAGCTGAGTTCAAAAAATCAATTTCAGAAATACAAGATGGAGTTAACAAAGCTAGAAAGTAATTTATATGAAAAAGATCTGGGGGTTCCAGTGGACCTCAAGCTCAATATGATTCAAACAATGTGATATGGCAGCTGAAAAAATCTAATTCAATCTTAGGTTATGATAAGAGAGTCAGAATGTCCATGATCATGGAAATGAAATGAGAGTACTCTGCCCTGGTCTGATCATGTTTGGAATAACATGTTCAATTTTGGGTTATCAAAATTCAGGAATGGCACTGATAACTTGAACAGCAACAGGGCAGGAGAATAGCATTGTAAAAACCCTTGAGTTCATGTCATGTGAGGATCAGTGGAAGGAATTGGGGATAGTTAGCTTGAAGAAGAAAAGATTTGGGGGAGGGGTGGCAGAATAGGTATTTGAAGAGACTTCCCATGAAAGAGAAATTAGACTCATTCTGTTTGCTGTTCAATTGTGTGTTCTGGCTGACTACAAAAGGTAAGCATGTTGATGGGGTCCCATGAACTATACTTTTAGCCTTGTACTGTCAGTCATCCAACAAGTATTTATTAAGCACCTAGTATGAGGTTAGGCAGGGCAGCTAGATGGCGCAATGGATAGATTGCCAGGCCCGGAGTCAGGAAGACCTGAGTTCAAATCAGATCTCAGACACTTACTAGTTGTATGACCTTGGGCAAATCACTTAACCCTGTTTGCCTCCTGTTTTCTCATCTGTGAAATGAGCTAGAGAAGAAAATGGCAAACCATTCTGATGCAGTTTGGGGTTGCTGGGAACCCTGAAATGTCGGGTACAAGATGGATTCACCGGGAACAAATTCACACACTCAAACCATCTTCCAGTCAAGTGGCCAGGTTGATTGTAAAGCCAATAGTACCGGGAAGGAGTTCCTGTAACCTAATGGGAGTAACAATGATGCTTATACACAAAAAGGACAATGAAAGGAATCTGGATGGGACTAAGAAGTGGTAGTATATGCAAGTAGTCTGGGGTAGTCCAAGTGAGATAGTGAAAGGAATGTCAAGTAAGCTAATTAGGTAATCTAGGTGGGCCGGTTGCCTTAGGTGGAGGCGCCAGTGGTCTGGACTGCTGAAATATATGGGGAAATTCTGGGACTAGGTGGCTTTCAAAGACATGATCTTTTCCTTTTAAGGGTCCCGGTCCCATCACTCCATCATTTTTGGTCTTGACTAGAGAAGAGCTTCAGGGGTTCAGGCAATTCCCCATATGGGCCACCAAATTGATGTGGTTTTGGGGTTGCTGGGAACCCCAAAATGTCAGGGTACAGGGCAGCGTCTGCCTGGAATGAATTCACCCACTCAAACCTTCTTCCAGTCAAGTGACAAGGCTTGTTGTAATAGCAATAATAGCAGGCAGGTTCACTAGGAACCCTATTTTGGGGTTCCCAATAACCCCAAACCACATCAGCTCCAGCACTGTTGCCAAGAAAATCCAATGGGGTCATGAAGAGTCAGACACAATTCAATAACAACAACATTGGGGTGGAGTGTGTAACATGTTTTATCAGCCATACTATGCATTAGGTTAGATTTGTCTGATCAAGCTAAGAGTGTCAACCAATGGACTGGAGAAAATACAGGAAATTCACCACAACCAGAACAGAATATGTGGAATTTTCAAATGCAGTTTTGTTGGTACTCTTTAGAACTATGTGCTTTTGGCAACTGCCAACATGACTAAAAATACCAAGAAGGTCGGAATTGTTGGCAAATATGGAACACGTTATGGTGCATCCTTCAGAAACATGGTGAAGAAAATTGAAATTAGCCGGCATACCAAGTATACCTGCTCCTTCTGTGGCGAGATCAAAATGAAGAGACAGGCTGTGGGTATTTGGCATTGTGGATATTGTATGAAGACAGTAGCTGGTGGTGCATGGACCACCTCTGCAGTCACAGTCAAATCTGCCATCAGAAGACTGAAGGAATTGAAAGACCAGTAAAATCTGTAACCCGTAGTCCAACAATAAATGGGTTAATTTATGGAATTAAAAAAAAAAGAACTATGTGCTTTCCCAGCCTTCCTTGCTCATACCTTAACCAAGGTGGAAAACAACCATCTGAGAATAACTGGCCCACATAAAGAACAGGTGACAGATACACTAGGGCAGCAAATTCAGGAGACAACTGCCTGGATGCCATCATTGACAATATAATTTGTAATGCAAAAAGGGGCAGTGGAACCCTCAGACCTGGAGGTCTTAGCACAGTTGCATATTTTGTTGTTGGTCCTCACCAATGGAGGACCAAATCCTAAAATATGTTTAATATCATTTGGCATAGTGTGTATTTATATAAGTATGCAAATTATATGTGTGTGTGTATGCGTGTATATATGTACATATGTATGCAAACAGCCAGAAAAAAACTATTCAACTCTCCTCATCTGTTCAAATTTCCTTAGGAAAATTGAAAAGATGAAATATTGTAGTTCTACGTTGGAATAAACCCCATCACAAATATAATCAATGAATTCACATATGTAGAATTTAAATCCAGCAGGCCACCTTTCTTACTCCAAATATTAAAGAAGAAAAGCAACAATAAAGACTGCAGGGCAGGGATGGAGTGAAGAGAGACCTGAATAGGAATTCTACCCCCAACAGCCCACAGAGCTGTGGCAAGCAACCCCTCAGAGCCTCTTTTTCCTTACCTGTAAAAACAAGGAGGGTGGCACAGTGGATAGAGCACCGGCCCTGAAGTCAGGAGGAACTGAGTTCAAATCGGGACTCAGACCAAACACTTCACATTTACTAGCTGTGTGACCCTAAGCAAGTCACTTAACCCCAATTGCCAAAAAAAAAAGAAGAAGAAGGGTAAATAATTTCACTAAAGACATCCCAGAGTTGTTGTGAAGTAAGTTCTCAGGAAATACTAAAAAACACTCTTGAAATGTGAGTATCATATCTTTTGCCCACTCTAAATGCAAAAACCTATGAATTCACTTCTCTGGACTCCCCCATGATTTTTGCTGTTTGTTTTTTTGAAGGTAATTGGGGTTAAATGACTTGCCCAGAATCACACAGCTGAGGCCAAATTTGAATTTCGGTCCTCCTGAATCCAGGGCCGGCACTCCATTCACTGCACCACCTAGCTGCCCCTGACTCCCCAGTTTTACAAACAAACATTCTGATATACATAGAAGAAGAAAGAGGATGATACATGAGAAACTCTGAACTTCTGTTGTTACAGAAGTTTTTAAGTGTGTTATGCAAGCATATGCTATACTAGGTTTCAATGAATCTCTAATATTGTAGGAAGAAAATATTCTACTGTATTTGATGTTATTTAATTGTCATGCAGGTTTTCTCTTCAGGCATCTGTGGCTCAGATAATCACATACTAGATGGAACATTCCCTGTACCTTTACCTGCAATTTTGGGACACGAAGGAGCTGGGGTAGTAGAAAGCATTGGAGAAGGCGTGAGCAGTGTGAAACCAGGTGAGGATGGAAGCCAAAATGGTGTTTGATGTCAGAAGTTCCTCCTTTCCACCCTCCTACAAAAATGATCAAATTCTCTGCAAAAAAAGAAGGGAATTTTGAATTAGATCAACATATGTATAAGTAGATTATAAGATTTAGATTAGGAAGAGACTTAGTGAGATTATTCGGATTGCAACATCCTCTGCTAGATTATAAAACTCCCCAACTGTAAAAAAGTGTGTCTCTCTTAACTTTGGTCTCACACTCAAAAAATATTTCTTGACTAGTACCAAGCTAAATGTAGTTTCTCGAGACGCAAAGACTGTTCCCCTCAAACAGAACCTGGAAAAGGGAAGTCTGTCTGTGACTGTAAAGGTGAAAAATGATGGAAAACGAGGCAGAGGATTTAAAATGGGCCTTAGATTTGAACTGTAAAAGTGGGGGATGGCACCCAGATCATAGCAGCCTCTGCAATTCCCCCTTCTGAATGCCTTGGCAAGACTACGGACAGTCAGGAAACATGTAAAGCTAGCTAGGTGGCCCAGTGGATGGAGTCAGGAATACCCGAGTTCTAACCCAGTTTCAGACATTAGCTATATGACTGAACAAGTCACTTAACCTTTGCCTGCCTCAGTTTCCTCAATTGCAAATAGGAAGGATAATAGACATATCTCACAGGTTTGACGTGAAGACCAAATGAGATAAAATTGGTCAAGTGCTTAGCACAGTGCCTGTGATACAGGTAAATGCTTAATAATTGCTTGTTTCCTTTGCTTCCCTTCCCCATATGTCCCACGGAGGGAAAGCTCTTGAGACTTACCTGATATTTAAAGGTCAAAACAAAATCAAATGCATGCACCTGAATCAAGAGAGAAGAAATAGAGATTCCTAGCAGAACTTTGATCTCCTATGAATTGAAACCTTGATTAGTGACACCCTGTCCAGCCAACATCTGATGCCTACCTTTAGGAAAAAGCAAGAGAGTTTTCCAGGTCCTCCCTGCTCCATCACCAGAGGGCATTCTGGGACATCCTCCTAGCTCTCTGCACTTGATTTTGGCTTTTAGAATGGCTGTTACCCCTCAGCTCTACCCCTTTGTGGGTGAGAGTCAATGTTTTAACATTAGCCCATTGGTTGGTTATATCTCTGTCAAATCTCAGGGCTCGGGGTCTCCATCTCACTGACTTCTCTCCTTTGTTCATACATCCCTTTGTCCCAAATCAAATCATGGAAGGTCAATTCCAGCTCCAAACAGGGGGCAGGCAGTGCTTTCCTTTGGGCTTTTCACTCATAAATCCACCTTATGAGCTTCCACTGATGTAAGACCAGAACAAAGACTGCTCAGTTGGTCTCTCACTAGAAGGCACCACCAGGCATTTACCAAGCCTACCAGCTTTAAGCATGGTTCTTCTCTTGGAAGTGGTCTTCCACAAGAGAAGAGAAGCACAATATTCAGAAAGAGACACTGACAAGTAGCATGAAATGCTGCGGACAAGTCAAGAAAGATAAGGTTTAAGAACACGTCATTGCATTTGGCCAGTAAGGGAACAATTCAGGGGAGGCAGGTTCAGTTTGGGAGCCAAATTGTAAAGAGTTGAAAAGTGAATGATAGGGAGAGGAAGTGAAGGCCAAAGAATGTAAACAACTTTTGAGTTCGTCTGTGAAAAGACTGAGAGGTAAAGGATGGTTTGAGGAGATGGTAGAGTCAAGTAAGGGCTTATTAAAGATGGGGGAGATGTAGCCATGTTTAGTAGGAAACAAGTCAGTTGATGAGGAAGGACTGAAGATTAGAGAGTGAGGGTCTAGGAGTGATTTTAAGGAAAGTAATCAGAGGACACAGGACTAAATAAGAGGACGGGTACAAGTAGAGGGATAACCAGAAGATCACTTCAATTTTTTAACTTTTAAATGTTCTTTTTTATTCTAAACTTAACAATATCAATAAACACAAATATGTTGATATACAAATAAGAACAAAAAAGAGGATTATATAAGACACTAAACATCTGTTTATATAGTTTTGTTTAACTTTATTAGCAAGTAGTAGAAAAGAGGGTGCTGAAAGCCAATAGCCTCTAGTTCAAAAGTTTTTCAGGGAGTATAAGACACATGTACTGCCTTCATTCTTGAGCATGTAATGGCTTTGCAAGGCTTAAAATGCCAGAGAATTGATGTCCATAAAGCCAACAGCTTCTGTTACATTCATATAGTCATTTGCATGGCCCAGGTCAAGAGGAAAATTGCTTCTTCCTAGCAAGGAACATTTGGATTGTTAATGCCAGTTATGTGACAAGCTTTCAACCCAACTCTGTGAGTTATTTCTTGTGAAATCCAATGTACACAATGTGCTGAATTATCTCCATATTTTATCTTGATGCTATAAAATTTTTCTCTCCATCCATAGTGATAATGATTTTTTTCTGTTTTCCTCCCTTAGGAGATAAAGTCTTAATGATCGGTCTACCTCAATGCCGAAAATGTGATTCCTGTTTACATGCCAAGGGCAACTATTGCCTGAAGGCAGAGTAAGTGCCTTCCTATCACTAATTCTGCTTACAATTCTGTTTTCATGATGGATCTCATGATGGTTCTGCGTCTGTCTGTCTGTTTCCATGAACTAGTCTGTTTTCTTCTGTTGGACTGATGCTTGATGGTACCACCAGATTTACATGCAGAGGGATGAAAGTGCATAACTTATTTGGAACAAGCACATTTACTGAATACACCGTGATGCGTGAGATATCAGTAGCAAAAATTGATGATGCTGCACCCCTGGAGAAAGTCTGCATATTAGCCTGTGCAATCCCCACAAGCTATGGAGCTGCTATTAACACAGCACAGGTGAGAATGTGTAGACAAGCAGTCTGGTGAATGAGGCTTTCCCTAATCGATGCCAAGACGTGACTGAACCAACCAAAATGATCAAGCAAGTAGCCTTGTAAAGACTCAGGCAGACGGTGAAGAAACTTTTTTCTATTTTGATAATGCAGGCATATTCAGCACTGAAATCTCACGAGGAATTTTGTGCTCTTCATGTGCAGGTCACCCCTGGTTCCACCTGTGTTGTCTTTGGGCTTGGAGGCGTTGGCTCTGCAGTTGTTCTGGGGTGCAGAGCAGCTGGTGCTGCCAGGATCATCGGCATTGACATCAATGAAGGGAAATTTGCCAGGGCAAAAGCTCTTGGCGTCACTGATTGCCTTAATCCTCGAAACTTCAAGAAGCCCATCCAGCAGGTGGTGGTGGAAATGACTGGGGTTGGTGCTGACTTTACTTTTGAGGCCATTGGGACTATCGAGACGATGGTATGTTATCTGTGGGCACAGAAAGATGGTGTTTCACATCAGCAAGTAGCCACATATTAGACTAGTTTAACTTTACCAAAAAGAACTTAAAAGAAAAAAGATAACTAACACACATGGAAAGTTACCTTACCTTCAATGCTCTGTGGAATGGAATGTTTTTAAATCATTGTAACCATGCACTGTACCCAGTGATAGAGCATTATACTATACACAGATTCAATATAAGGAGGATCAATCCCTACATATAAAAAGGGCTGTCTCCCACATGTGGCATGGATGTGGCTCAAAAGGAGGAAGAAGAGAGACCTCCTGCCTCTTCCCCCTTCCCCAAATGAGAAGTATAATCCCTTTCCCCCTCTGCACCACCTCAGTCTCTGTGTAGGGTAAGAGGATTAGTTCATAACTTAATTCAGCTCCCAGTTCTAAGTTCAAAACCCCACTAAGGCTTGAGTCCCAGGCACCCTGGTTTGTCAGGGTTTCCATGCTTGGCTGGCTGGCTCCATTACCCCACCTGCTATCCTGGCTGCAAGGTCACCATGGCTCACTCTCAGTTCCATGAGGATCACCACCAGCACCGGAAACTGAGGACAAACAACAAAACAGAAACAAATACCACCAGGATCAAAGAGAGGGAATAGGGGAAGGACTTGCCTTTCCCTCTTATCAGTTCAGTTTATGGCATCCATGTTGGGCACAAAACATAAGGGTTACTGAAAAGTGTAGATGAAAAGATGATGAAAAAGAGAGGAAACATCTCAGTTTCACCAGTTTTAAAGACATAGACAGCCAATCAATGGAAGGCAAACTGGGCATGCTCAAATAGCCTGCACCACAACAAAAATCAATTTCTCTCTATCTCTCTTTCTCTTCTCTCTCTCTCTCCTCTAAAGATATTTCTCTCTTTCTCTCTCACATCGTCTGTCTCTGCTTCTATCTCTCTGTATGTCTTTATTTCTGTCTTTCACAGTCCTTCATGTTCTTTCTCTCATGTCTCTCTGTCACTCTTTCTGTCTCTCTCCCCCTGTCACTGTGTCTTTCATGTCTTCTCTCTGTCTCTCTCTGTCTCTGTCTCGTTCTCCCTCTCGCTCTCCTTTTCTCATGTTCTTTTATTTTCTTCTCTATTTCCATCGCTATCACTTTTTCTCTCTGTAAATCTCCTACTCTTGAGAGCAAGAAATGTAACAGAAGAAAGAAGGAAAGAATACCAAATGGATGGGAATAGAGAGATGTGAAATGGAGAAAGAAACCAAGCAGGCAAATGAAAAAAGTAGTAGAGGGAAAGAAGAGAAGTAGAAGAACGGGTAAAGAGGGGACAGACATGAGAGGCAAAAACTACAATAAATATTACATCATATGCCTCAAGCAAATTAGGATACAGAAAAATGAAGACATACTCTATTTATTTAAAGACATATTTTCTTCAAAATAATTAGAATGAGGGATGAAGCACAGGAGAAGGGAAGGAAAGTGACAGGGGATGGCCCAAGACAAACTGCCTCATTTGACATATTACCCCAATCAAGAAATGGAAATTTATGACCCAATCTAACTCATATGGCTCAAATGAATAGGACCTATACTTAAATTAAGCATTAATTCTACTGGTTCTCATGGTAGAAACTCTATGTGACCCAGAAATACGACTGAAAGACTCATAATTGTATTGTTAACCCTAGGTTGCTGCTCTGGAATCCTGTAACCTGAGTTATGGTGTCTGTGTTAGTCTTGGAGTACCACCAGTAAAATCCCAGCTTTCTTTGGACCCAATGAAGCTTCTATCTGGCCGGACCCTGAAAGCGTGCTTGTTAGGTGGTAAGAAGAAAACTTGAAATGACCAGGGGTTTTAACCCTAACAAATCCCTTTGAGTTTTCCCGAAACATTGGGAATACAGATATAGCAGCTAACATGTATAGAATAAGAGACAAGAATGAAGTCAATCAATAGGTTAGTCAAATAATAAGCATTTATTAAGCATCTACTATGTACCAGGTATGTACTAAGTACTTCTACAGAGAAAGCTAAAAGTATTTCTACTCCCCTTCTAAAGGTGGGGGTGTGCTGGAACCAGCTCAAGCCAGCTCACATAAGCTGATTCTTAAATGTTCAGTGTAAGCATTTATACCTCTGAAATTAGTAAATGTTACAAATCAGGATATGGTATTATTTTGTTTATTATCTAGGCTTAAGAGAGCGATAGATGAAATGTTAAATATGCAGATTAAACTTAAAATTGTGTCCTATGTACATTTTTTGCAGAGTCAGTTATTAAACATTAATTAGCACATCCTTGACTAAAGGGTCACCCCTAAGCTGGCAGATCACTCTCAGATAATGGAATCCTTGCCCCTGCTTTCACTGAGAGGGAAATTGAGGCTAAGCAAGCTGAAGAGGCTGGTGTGAAATCACTCAGATTTCATCAGTGAGGGGCATCTCAGATCATGGAGTCCAACCCCCTGCTGTTACTGAAAGGGATACTTAGACCTAGAAATCTGAAAAGCCTGGTATGAGGTCAGAAATAAGCAGCCAGGGCCTACCCAGGTGAAATAATTTCACCCTGGACAGTCACCTAAAGAGGCATGAAAGGAGGAGTTTTTATGGTGAGGGAGCAGAAGATTTATAAATATTGATTCATATTGGATGCAACTTAAAACTAGTCCTTGTCATCCCAGGCTGTTATCAGCAAACAAAGCAATCCAAAGCATTTATTCCAGAGGACAAAGGAGTTAGGACCATAACCAAGAATAATCTATCCATCAAAATTGAGGGTAATCCTTCAGAGGAAAAAAAAAAAGGATATTTAATGAAATAGAGGAATTCCAAGCATTCCTGGTAAAAAGACCAGAGAGGAAGAGAATATCTGACATTCAAATACAAGACTCGAAAGAAGCATGAAAAGGTAAACAGGGAAGCAAAATCATAAAAGACTCAGTGAATTTAAACTGTTTCTATTCCTACGTTAGAAGACGTTACACACACACACACACACACACACACACATAATTTTTAAATAGTATTTTATTTTTAATTACATGTAACAACAATTTTAATATTCTTTTTTTTAATTTTGAGTTCCAAATTTTTCTCCCTTCTTCCATTCCCCCTTCCCTAAAACAGTAAGCAATCTGATAGAGGTTATATGATTGATTTGATATAGGTTATATGATATAAGATTACATGACTGTAAAACATATTTCCATATTAGTCATGCTGTGAAAGAAGAAATAGACCAAAACACACACACACACACAAATAAAGAAAGTGACAATAGTATGCTTCAATCTTTATTTAGAATCCGTTGGCTCTTTCTTTGTATGTGGATAGAATTTTCCATCATAAACCCTTTCTATATATATAATTTCTAAGAATGTTATCGTGATTAAGCAGTTAGAAGAACTCTAAATAGATAGAGGGCACAGTTGATTGTGTTAGGATGATCTCAAAAAAAGGGGTGAGAAAGAAGGATGCACTGGGAAGAGGGGGAAAGAGAAGAAGAATGGGGAAATTATCTCACATAAAAGAGGCATGCAAGGAAGAGCTTTTATGGTGAGGGAGAAAATGAGGCAGGCAATAACTTAACCTCACTCCCATCAGAATTGGTTCAAAAAGGGAAGAATATATAGACATCTATCTTACCCAAGAGGGAAGTACAAATGGAAGGGGATGAAAGAAATGGAGAGGTTGATAAAAGGGAGGGCAGATTAAGGGAGGCAGTAGTCAGAAGCAAAACAGATTTTCAGGAGGGACAGAGTAAAAATAGAAGGAGAGAGAAAAGGATAAAGAGAAGAAAATAGGATGGAGGGAAATACATAGTAATCATACCTGTGAATGTGAATAGGCTAGACTTATTGATAAAATGTAAGCAAATAGCAGAATGGACAAGAAACCAGAATCCAGCAATATGTTGTTCACAGGAGACATACTTGAAACAGAAAGATACATACACAGAGTTAAAAGAAAGGGCTGGAGCAGAATCTATTCTGCTTCTGCTGAAGTAAAAAAAAAAAAAAACAAGGGTAAAAATCATTATCTCAGACAAAGCAAAAACAAAAACAGATCTAATTAAAAGAGATAATCAGGGAAACTACATTTTGCTAAAAGGTACCATAGACAGTGAAGTAATATCAAAACTTTACAGCAAGTGTCTTTGATATAAGCTTCATTTCTCAAATATACAGGAAACAGTTAAATTTATAAAACTAAGAGTCATTTGTCAATTGATAAAAACACAAAGGATATGAACAGGCAGTTTTTAGAAGAAGAAATGAAAGCTATCTACAGTCAGGTGAAAAAAATGCTCTAAATCACTACTGTAAATTAAGACAACTCTGAGGTACTACTTCATACCTATCAAATTATATAATATGACAGTAAAGGAAAATGACAAATGCTGGAGAGGATGTGGTAAATTAGAGACACTAAAGCACCGTTGGTTGGAGTTGTGAACTAGTCCAAACATAATGGAGAACAATTTGGTACTATGCCCAAAGGGCTATAAAACTCTACATACCCTTTGACCTACCAATATGACTACTAGGTCCGTACCACAAAAAGATCAAAGAAAAAGAAAAAGGACCTATATGAACAAAAATATTTATAGCAACTCTTTGTGTTGGCAAAGAATTGGAAATTGAGGGAATACCCATCATTTGGGGAGTGGCTGAACAATTTGTGCTGTTTAAATGTAATGGAATACTATTGAGCTATACAAAATGATGAGGGGGTGGTTTCAGAAAAACCTGAGAAGACCTCTGTGAACAGATGTAGAGTGAAATGAGAAAAACCAAGAAATCATTGTATACAGTAACAGCAATATTGTAATGATCAACTATGAAAAACTTAGCTACTCTTGATCAATACAACGATCCAAGACAATTCTGAAGGACTCATGCTGAAAAATACTATTCACCTCCAGAGAGAGAACTGATGAACTCTGAGTTTGAATTGAAGTATAATTTTTTTACTTTAATTTTTTCTTTCTTTTTTGATGCAATATGGCTAATATAGAAATATGTTTTGCATGATTTCATATGTATAATTTATATGTTGTTTGCTTTCTCAAAGAATGGTGGAGGAGTTGAAGGAAGGAAAAAATTTGGAACTCAAAAAAAGTTTTTAATGTTAAAAATAATAATATATTTGAAACATTTTTTTAGAACATCACTGAATGCTGCAGAAAGGTCAAGAAGGATGAAGACAAAGAAAAGGGCATTGAATGCAATGAACATTCAATTTCTTTCATATGAATTAAGAGCACTATATTGTTCAATGTAAATCCTAGATCAATACAAGGGTCCTAGCCCTATGAACAGGTGAAATTTGGTTCTTCAAAGTCCTACTCTGGAATAAATCATTGAAGTGAAAAAAGAAAAAGAAAAAACAAAGACCATATCCAAGTGGAATAAAGGGAGAAGATGATATCTGAACTAGATCTTGGAGGATTGCAAAAATTTCAGCAGGAGGAGGGGGATGAAGAGCACCTTCTAGTCATATAGAACAAAGACATGGGGGTAGGAAAATACAGTATGAAAAGAGAGCCAGTTTGGCTGCAGAGTGGATGTGTAGGAGCGATGTGATGGTGGATAGAGCACTGCAGTCAGAAGCAAGACAACCTGAGTACAAACCCTGCCTCAGACACTTCTGAACTATGTGACCCTGGGCAAGTCATTAACTTCTTTGGGCCTCAGTTTCTTTATCTGTAAAGTGAGATTGAACTCAATATGTCTGTTCAGATCTCAAATCTACCACTCTATAATTTATGATCCTAAGTAATGTGAATTAAACCCAGAACTGTGTAGGGCCTTGAATGACCTGTTCAAGCATTTGATCTTTATTTAACATAAATAGGTAACAGGAAGTCATTCAAAGTCTTTGAGAAGAGGGGTAACATGAACATTCCCAGGAATATAAATAGAATACCATGACCAGGAGACCCATGTGCTCCATCTAGTGTTTCTCCTAGGCAATCAATTAGCTTCTTGTCTTGTCGGGAGAAGATGGAAGGAAGACTCTTACACTACTGTCAACTGATCTATGATGGATATTTCTGTGTTCAGAAACTGATATGCGATGGATAAGTCCTGTGTCCTTTCTGTGTGCTTGGATGGTATACTGAAATTTACTTGATTCATCAAGTTGGCCTCATTGTTCAAGCATCATTATTATCTTTGTTTTTCCTTCACAGAGTATAAAAGCAGAGACCATATTCCTTTATTAGTAGAGGACTATATGAAAAAGAAAATTGATGTGAACTCACTGATAACCCATAGCCTGCCTTTCGTCAAAATTAATGAAGGGTTTGAGCTCCTCCGATCAGGACAATGGTGAGAGCTTTGTTTGGTCATCTTTGTGCCTGATATTTACATGGGAAAAAATATCACAGTGAAAATGAGGAATCCCCTCTCACAAGATCCTAAATGAGTTAGAAATAGATGGAGAAGGTGGCCCTGAGGAAGGAATCAAGCAATGTGGCATCCACTACTAACCTCACTACTCCTTAGCCATGTGATGTAACAAAGCTTGTCCTTTCATCTCTCTGTACCTCAGTTTTATCGTTTAATATAAAGTGGACATAATAATACCTATCTGACCTACTTCACAAAGTTCTTGAGAAGATCAAATGAGTAAATAAAAATGAAGCCAAAATTAAACATGCTATTTAAGTCTCTAATACTATTGATATTGGTGTTGCAAGTCTAAAAGTATAAGTAAACATGTTGAAATTACAATTTAAATATGTTATAGTGCTCAGTGTTAGGCCTGTCTCAGCTCTGAAATTATTTGCAGGCTGTGTGCAGAGAGAAGAGGTTGGAAAGGTAGGGTGGCACTAGATTACAAAAGATCTTAAATGCCAGGCAGAGAAGTGGGAACTTTATTCAGTAGGCCATAGTGAGCCAAAGATTTATGAGAAGAGGAGTTATGTGAGCAGACTTAAACGCATCACTCAGTAGGCTTATTGGAGAGTGGATTGGATGGAGAAGTGAATCCTGGTTCCTGCCTGGATTCCCTGGGTTCATATTCAAAGAAGAGTTTTTGTTTCGTCTTTTCTGAAATGTGCTGGGAATTTTTCAATCATGCATACATGGATGAAGGATAGGTAGGCTGTCCAGAAGAGGTGAGATGGAGTGTATCCCAGGCATAGGGAACCAAAAAAGCAAAGGGTGGAATGTATTCAGGAAATGAGAAGTAGTTAGATTTGGTTGGAGTATAAGACACCTGAAGGATGGTGGTGAAAAATATGGTTGGAAGGACAGAGCCAAACAATGAGAGGTGTTGATTATCAAACAAAGCAGATTTGTCTTTTATAAGAACAGTCTCTAAAAATAAAAAAATTAAAATAAAATAATAATTCACACTTCTCATCTTAACAAAAACATATTTTGCCTTTTGGAAAGCCCTATCTTGAGAACTCTTTTCTGAAAATCTAAGGCAGTCCCATCTACTCATTATTTTATGCAAGGGACCTAAAGCATTCATGGAAAGCCTTCCTGTGGTCTACGTAGGTTTACCAAAATCAGTTGACTTCCATATTATTAAGTTTATTCCTAATTAAGCCATGGTGATGGCTTCCATCCCAATGGAAGCAAGCTATTTTTTTTTGTCCACATCTACCGATTTCATCATTGTAGGGAATCCCTAGTGTGGCACAGACACGCAACTTAGTGACTCATCAGTAACTTACAGTCTTAGTGTGTTGCTTAGGTCACTGAGTGGTTAGTTAAATGGTTTGCCCACGATTACATAGATAAAATGTGTCCAAGGCAGCAAACAATCATCTAATCTCAGAGGGAAGGCATTAGCAGTAAGGGGGTCCTAGAAAGGCTTCTTTCAGAGGGTGAGATTTTAGCTGGGAATTTTAACTTGAAGGGAGCCAGGGAAGCCAGGAGGAAGAGATGAGAAGAGAGAACTCCAGAGTTGGAGGACAGCCAGTGAAAAATCGTAGCATTGGGAGATGGAATGTCTTATAAGACAAACAACAAAGAGGCCAGAGTTTCTGGACTATAGAGTATGGGGGAGGGAGCACAGCATAAGAAGACTAGCAAGGTAGGAAGGAGACAGGTTATGTAATCCTTTAAATGCCAGAGGGTTTTTATTTGATCCTAGAGTTAATAGGAAGCCATTAGGGTTCGTTGAATAGTGAAGTGATATGATCAGACCTGCATTTTGTGAAGATCACTTTGATAGCTGAAGGGAGAATGGACTATTATGGGAAAACACTGGATGAAGGCAGGTCAACCAGCAGGCTATTGCAACAGTCCAGGCAAGAGGTGATGAGGGCAGGAATATGCAAGAAGTGTCACAAAGGCAGAATTGACAGAACTCGGCAACAGATTGGATGGAGGAGGTTGGTGGGAGGGAGAGGAGTCAAGGGTGATGCCTACACATACAAGCCTGGGTAACCAAAAGGATGATGGTATCCTCAACAGTAATAGGGAAGTTGGGAAGAGAAGGGGAATTTGGAAGGAGAGATACTGAGCTCAGTTTGGGATGTGTTAAAATGCTCAGGATATCCAATCTGAAGTGCCCAATAGGCAATGGCAGACTCAAGACTGGAGGTGTAAAGATAGGGTAGGGCTGGAGAAGAGGGTTTGAGAATCATCTGCTCAGCGTCAATGACTTGAACTCAGATCTTTCTGACTCCAAGATCTGCCCTCATGTCACTGCACTATACTGCCTCTTAGGGACTAATTGGAATCTTACCATGTCAAACCTCTGAGATCACATAGTCTAATTCCTTTATTTTACATGAAGTAGGTAGTGAGTTGTAGCAGAAAAAGTGTTGAAGTGAGAAGCTGAAGATCTGGGTTCAAATCCTGACTTATACACTTCCTGGCTATGTGATGTGGACAAGTCACTATAATGTCTCTGGGCCTCCATTTCATCATCAGGAAAATGGGGAAAATACAAATTCTATCCACTTCACAGGGTAAAGAAAATGCTTTGAAAACCTTAATGTGTATATGAGTTGCTAATATCATTACTAAGCAACAATGAAACTTGGACCCAAAAAGATTCAGTAAGCCACCCAAAGGCACACCGCTCCAGGTGGAAGAAGCCAGGTCTCAGTCCAGTCCTCTTTCCATGCTATCATGTCTGGCTTCCACTGGTGCCCAGTTACACACGATGACTCCAGACTGAGCCAGCTATCCAAATGTCAGCCCTTTGTCACAAGGGAAACTGTGTAGAGAGGGTGGAGGCGTCATTCCCAGGGATCGGAGAAAAAGCATCATTTGTGCCTCACTGACAGTGACCCAGGAGCATCATCACGCAGTGGGAAGGTGCCATATCCGAAGCTCAATGGCAAAGGGAGGCAGGACATTACTTCTACCCTTAGGATCCTGAGGCTTCCTTTCATGTTGTTCCATTCTCCCTGGAATGTTATGCTCTGAGACCTAGGCTGTGTGTTAGAGATGTTCTTCAAAACAACATTCGTACTAGGAAGTTCCCCCAGCCCACTTTCTTCTATGATGTATTATTGATCTGTACAAAGAACCAGCATCAGAGGAAAGAGAATGAAAGGGACCTTTGATTCTTTCCTACATTATTAAAGTCAGTGACCAAGTGAGGTCCAGGTTACTTGCTGTTCCCCTTCAGGTGGCAATATTTGTTGGAGATAGACCAGAAATGAAAATGGAGGGCAGGGGCTGTACAGACCACTTGAAGATTCTTTTTTAATGTAATTTTTATTTTATTTTATTTCTAATAAAAAGAATTCACTTTCTCTCCTTCCCACTCAATTGAAAAGAAAAGAAAAACAAAACTCTTGTAACAAAAATGTATTGGTAAGGAAAACAAAAACCCAAAATGACCGTGTCCGGAAACATATGGCTAAACAATTGTTTTTGCACTTCTGTATTTCAGCATTCGCTGTGTTCTGTTGTTCTGAGATCCTAGTGGAGGAAAGGGGAATGGGAATCCAAGGAGACATCCTTCCTTGCTACAGTATCATCCTCTTGGGGTCTTTATATAGATCAGGACTGGGGTTAGAAACTTGGTACTTCCAAGAACAGTGGGAAATGGAATAAACTACTTCTGAACATTATGCCATTAAATATGTTTGTTTTAAATCTGTGTGCAAAGTTGACTCATGTATTAAAAGGGAAAAAATATGGGAGTTTAGTTCTTCTGTCTAATTATATCAACATAGGTTGATACTCTCCTATAAAGAAAGGTTCCTACCAATTTAAAAATACTATAGCTCCATCCTTAAATTAGTGTGAACTCTGAGTTATCTCATAAGGACTACACTTGCATTTTCAGTTCTTGACTGGGGTAATTTTAAGCCTAAAGCAAAGCTTTTGCTCCTCATCCTTTTGCTGAGCCTGTGCTCTTACGTCAAATTGCTTGCTGTCTTGGGGAAGGAAAAGTGAATGGAGGGAGAGAGAAACATTTAAAACTCAAAATTTTACAAAAATGAATGTTGAAAACTATCTTTACATGTAATTGGGGAAAAAATAAAATACTATTAAGAAAAAAAAAAGAATCCTGTGTTCTCATTTCCCCAGTGACACTTCCTGCCAATCCAGATTCTGAGGACTTTTCTAAAGTTGCAACTGGCTGGTCTATCTCTCCAATCTGATCCTGTGGAAAAGAAGCAGAGACCTCACCTCTCTTTCCCTGTGGTATGGAGGAGTTTCTCTAAAATCCTAGCCCAGTTACTCCTAGTAAGATGGCGATACCTCTGCTAGCATTTCAAAAAGTCTCACTTGTCAAAAGACATTTCTGGGACAAGTTGTTCACCCACTGCTCACCTAGGCTGTTCACCTTTTCCCCATCTGTCATAGGGTGGGATTTCACCACTGCCATGACATCTCAGCTCTCACCTTTGTACAGGCTTTCCCCCATTCCCTCCATACTACTGGTTCTTAGAATCCCTTGCTCCCTTCAGGGCTTACTTCACACAGTACCTCTTTCAAGAAGCCTTTCCTCACTACCCTATTTGCTAGTACCCACTCCCCACTCCATCAATGTGCACTTATTCAGCATGTATTCGGTATTTCCTTATCTTTAACCAGATTGTATCCCACAGTTGAATATAAGCTCCTTGAGAGCAGAACTATCTCATTTTTGTAATATATATGTTCAGGGGCCCATCACAGAGTCTCAGCACTTCATAAATGATGGTTGGTTGATTATTTTTAGGGCAAAAAAATAATCACTGAAGGGTTCATATGAGTTCAAAGAATTGTGGTGGGAGAAACAATCCAGAGACAACTTTTAATTGGCAAAACCGGGTGCTGGGAATACAAAGACAAAAATATAATAATTCCTTCAACGTGATGGGGGTAGCAATGTTAGTAACAATTGTGTTGTTAGCAACAATTGTGTCACCAACAGTTGCTAGACAATGAGGAATCCCTCCTGCCCAAGATAAATGTTTTACCCAATGAATGCATTACCCAGACAGAATGTTCACCACTAAATCACAGAAGGCACTGTCCCTAGGTAGGCACCTAGTAATAGCAAAGACTGTCCTTTAGGTGAACTTACGATCATTATCATATATTAATGCCCCCTGCCCAGTGGGCTTTTCTGTATTCATTATGGGTAGTAGCATGTGCAGTTCTACTTTGCCTTTGTGTATGTTTTTGTAACCAGGGGATTGTGGCTTGAACCAGATCCAGTATATTTGGTGGTATTTTCTGCTGTATAAAAACCCCTGCCTTGCATTGCTAACATCTGGTTCCTTCTTGGGTCCCTGTCCACTTTCTGGTAGGTGTAACTCTCAATAAATGCCTTTGCTTGGGTTGGAGATGGTCTGAGTCTGTGAATTCTTTTGAAACAACCTTGCAACACACCTTAAACTTCAGCACATGGACGGATGTAAGAAAATCAAAATATGTACAAAATAAATGCGAAGTAATTAGATGGAGGAGTAACAGCTCTAAAGAATATCCCAAAGTCAGAGCTATGTCATGAAGCTAAATACTAAAATAGTTGAACACATCTGTGAATAATAACAACAATAATAGTATTTCTATAGCACTTTAAAGTTTACAAAACACTTTACAAATATTTTCTCATTTTACCCCCACAATTACCTTAGGAGTTGAGTGCTATTATTAACTATTACTGTCTCAGTGCTATCACCATAGAGGGGTCTTATTTTAATAGCAGACTTATTTGGATTAATAATTAAGTTGCACAAAAAGGCTTGAGAAGAGAAAGGAGGGAAGACATATAACAAGTTTTTCTAATGAAGGTTTCATTTCCAATATATATAAGGAACTGATTCAAATTTGTAAGAATAAGAGTGATTTCACTATTGATAAATGGTCAAAAGATATAAACAGGCAGTTTTCACAAGAAGAAATATAAACCATGTGAAAAATATTACAAGTCACTAATAACTGAAGAAATTCAAATTAAAAGAACTCTGAGGCTCTGCCTACACACATCAGATTGTCAAAAATGATAAATGCTGGAGTGACTGCAAGAAAATGGGCACATTAAAGCACTGTTGGCAGAGCTACAAATTAACCAGCCACGCTAAAAAGCAATTTATAATTAGGCCACAAAGGTTACTAAATCATGCATGCCTTTTGACCTAGCAAATCACTACTAGGGCTCCACCCAAGAAAAAGATTAAAGAAAGAAGAAAAGACTTACATATACAGAGATATTTACAGCAACTCTTTCTTTATTTTGGTAGTAGCACAGAGCTGTAAACTAAGGGGGTTTCCATTAATTGGAGAATGGCTGAAAAAATTATGCTATGTTTATGTAACAAAATCCTGTTTTGCCATGAGAAATAATGAAAGGGATGGCTTCAAAGAACCTGGGAAGATTTGTGTGAACTGATATTGACTAAAATGAGCAGAATTGGTTAATAATTTATACAATAACAACAACTTGAGGCACAGCAGAGAGACAACTCAGACAGACTTAAGACTGTTGCTCAAAGCAGTGACAGACCACAATAACAAAGGAGGAATGATGAAATATGCTACCCACCTCCCAGGAGAAGAGATGAACTCAAGATAAAATGAGACATACATTTTAGATTGACCAATGCTAGAATTTCTTTTGCTTGACTATGCATATTTGAGAGTTTGGTTTTTCTATTTTTTTTTCAGTTGGGAGAAAGTTGTAAGAAAAAGAAAATTAGTGCTTATTAATTTTTAAAGTTGCATAAAAAAGAAAAGAGGGAACACATAGGAAAATAATGTGATCTGGGATGTCATAAATAAACAAGAGGGGAAAGTAGAGGAATTAGGAAGGGAGGGAAGATCTGCAATGACAAAGGGACATTCCAGTCTCAAACAAGAAAAAGGACTCAGATTTTTAAAAAACTGATTGAAATAATAGTATAAACCATTTGGCGTGGTGAGTGCCTATACAGTTAAATAAGAAAGATTCAGGGGCAGCTAGGTGGTGCAGTGGATAGAGCACTGGCCCTGGAGTCAAGAGGACCTGAGTTCAAATCCAGCCTCAGACCAGACACTTGACACTTAATAGCTGTGTAACCCTGGGCAAGTCACTTAACCCTAATTGTCTAACAAAAAAAAAAGAAGAAGAAGAAGAAAGATTGTATTCACTTATGAGAAATCAAATAATCTAACAGAATTTATTAGAAGATATATCAAATTTAAGAATTATAATCTTGATTGTAAAGACATTGGATTCCCCTACAAAAAGAAAAATGGTTATTGAATGGGTTGCAAAACACAAACAAGTTTATGCCATCCAAGAAAACACTCCTAAAGTAGAAAAATACTTATGTATTAAGATGAAAGGATGAACCAAAATTCAAGTAACTGAAGAAAATCTAAAACAGTAATGCTTTATATCTGACAATGATGAATTCAAATTACAAAGCATTAAGGGAAATAAACAAGAAAATTATGTTATGCCTAAAGATATCAATACCTATAAGATAGGATCAATATCAAATATCTACATGCCTAATGGCATAATAATAATTTTTTTAAAACCTAATTTGTCAAAATAGATAATAATAGGACTTACCATTAAAACAGTAATGTGAAAAAAGAAACCCAATTCTCCCACAGAAACCAAAACAAATATCTGAAAAAGATCCCTGAATGACCAAGGATAAAAATAAAATATTTATTAAACACCTATTATATGCCAAGCACTGTACTACTAGAAATACAAATAAAAGCAAAAGACAGTCCCTGCTCTCAAGGAGCTCATAGACTAACAGTAAAAATAACATGTAAACAACTATGTCCAAACAAGCAATATTCAGGATGAATTCGAGATGATCAACAGAGGGAAAGTGCTAGGATCAATGGAGATTGGAAAAGGCTTCCAGTAGAAGATGGAATTTTAGTTGGAACTTGAGGGAAGCAGGAGAAGCCAGGAGGTGAGGTAAAGAGGGAGAACATTTCTGGGATAGTGGACAAGCCAGCAAAAACGCCCTGAGTCTGGAGATGGAATGACTTTTTCTTTTCTTTTCTTTTCTTTTCTTTTCCTTTTTTTTTTTTTTTTGGAGTGTCTTTTTCAAGGAGACCAATTTCACTAGATCAAAGATTTTAGGGGGCAAGGAGGGAGAGGGTAAGATGCAAAAATACTAGAAGCTAGAGGAGGGCAGATTGTGAAGGGATTTGTATTGGATCCTGGAGGTGATAAGGAGTCACTGTTTATTGAAAAGAATCATGAGAGGAGAGGATTCTGGAAAGATGGCAGATTAAGTTAGAAAATTCTAAACTCTCCAGATTTCCTCCACAAATAGGACAAAATGGCACCTCAGGGCAAATATAGAGCAGTAAAAATAAACAACAGTTGGGGCAGAACATGGGTCCTCCTGGGACAACCAGAGAAGAGCCAAGGTTTAATTCCTGTGAAGGGTAAACACCTCCAGGCTAGTTCGGTAGAAACAACAAACAGCAAGCCAAAATGAAATGGCACTCTGGATGAAAAGGAGCCAGCACATGCCAGTTAAGTGCAGAAGTAGTGGGGCCAGATGCCAGTGGCTGTGGGCACTTACAAGAGGGCTGAGTTCTTGGTTTTGGTTCCAGGTCAGAGGGGAGAACTGAAGGAAGATCTGAGGCCACATACACCATCCCCGATACCCCAGGACTAGAGGTGATTACAATAATAAGTTGTTACAAATTTAAAAAAAAAAAAGAGTAGGCAAGAGAAAAAGAACTCAACCATACAAAGTTACCATGGGAATAGAAAAGAACAGGGTTCATCTTCAGAGGAGGAGATTGAAGCAAAAAAAGCCTCTCCTACCCCAAAGAGTAATGTCAAGTGGTCACCTGCCCAAAAGGAATTCATAGAAGAACTTAAAAAAAGACTTTAAAATCCAAATGAGAGAGATTGAGGGAAATTTTTTTTTTAAATAACAACAATCCAAGAAAAACAAGAAGATTATGAAAAGAAAGTCAACCAACTAGAAAAG